ATTATTAAAATCTCTGTCCTATTCTTAGTTTTTGTAAATTTTTATAAGCCCAGATAATGCAGCATTGGAGTAAACTTTTGAATATTAAAAAATTAGACCATTAACCATTTTCTCCATATTGACGTTTTGCGCTTTTTTTTTTTTTTTTTTTTTTTTTTTTTTTTTTTTNTTTTTTTTTTTTTTTTTTTTTTTTTTTTTTTTTTTTTTTTTTTTTTTTTTTTTTTAGAATAGGCATCGACAACGCTGGCTTTAGATAGGCTAAACTTGTTGCAACAATCATGAGTACTGTCGGCTAACTCACAGCAGTTATGAAAATAGTACATTATTCGCAAAAAAGCATCATTTCATATGGCGATGGAGCATTAAAAAAACAGCTTAATAGAGCTGTATTTTAGATTTTTTTCTGCGAAAAATTATGCCAGTACAATTCTGCAATCAACAGTTTTTGATTGGTGGTTAAATTAGTATACAGTTGCCTGCTTTTAGATTTTTGATAATCGTATCTATTTTTATCTAATTAACACTAAAAGAATATAATAAAAGAATAGATTTTGAAAAATCTAAAAACTGAGAAACGTGTAGTTTTAAATTACTTAATTAAAAACACAAATCGCATCATTTTATTGCTTTAAAGTTTTGAGGAAAAATTCATAAAAACTCCAAAAATTATCAAGCGCTAATTCTCCTGATCTAATAAAGCGATGCCTTTATTTTCTGCCTTTTTTTAAAAAAAAAAAAGATATTGTGCTGTCTAATATAACTATACCATAACAATTTTGTTAAGTACAAAGAAATATCAGAGATACACAAATTAAAAATTCTTCATAAAATCCAAGAGTGTGAGGATAGAGGCCTCCTAACCTTAATTTCACTTTTTATATATTTCGCTTTATGTCGAGAGCTTTTTAAGCCAATTTGAAAAATGTCTGCATACAGTTTAAAATTCGTTTATCCAAAGCTGTTTCCATGTAAATATGATTTTTAATAGTTATTTGTTATTTTATTTAATAATAGTTGAAAACATTTAGAATTGCCAGGTATACACATTTTCACATTATTTCAAAGTATATAATTTTAAATGCAAAATTTAAACAAAATTGATCTAATAGTTAACAGATAATCTAGTTTTAAAAAGTTATAAACTTAAAATTTGATTTCTAGAGTGCTATTCGACAGATTTCTTCTTAATACGTGAAAATTCGATCATTAATAAAAGCTATTGAGAATGTCTACTTTTTTTCCGCTCTGTTCATTGCATAAAAAAGTTTGGGAATTTTTCTCACGAAAATGACGCTATTTTCTGAAATGCCTCAATGTAGACGATTTTTATGCCACATTGTTAGAATTTTTATTCTATAATTAACCTAATAAAATTAATATTCCCAAATTAAGGGTTAAATAACCAGCAACAGTCTGTCCATCCAATTAACCGTAAAGTTTACGGTTTTTATTTTTTTTACGGTTTTTATTTTTTTTGGTTTACGGTAGAAACTCTTTTTACCTTTACGGTTTTAAACCAGTTACAACTAGTATAGTTATAAAACCGTGAATATAAAACTAAATGGTTTTTAACCATTTATAACTAGCATGGTTTCAAAACCGTAAAAAAGAAGTTAACTAGATATCGGAGCTTGGCCTTTCGTTAGGTAATGGGCTTTGGACAATGCAGGGCACTGGAAATTCTTCGAGTGCTGAAGGGAATAGAGGGAATATTGTGGTGTCAACGCTAGGATTCGAACCTCTGTTCTGTCGGCCATGAGACTGACAGATTAGCCCTATTGGCTATAATATCTACGCAGCTGCAAGGAACTAAGTGACTTCATTAGGATGGCTTAGTTGTTGTGATGAAATCCTGGTTGTTTAACCGTATTAGGTGAAAGCGGTTAATAAACGATTTTTCTCCCAGTTAACAGTTTGAATACCATCTTAATTATGGTTACTTGACTGTTTTGTTTGAATCTGGTGAAATAACAATTAAATAAACTGCTTAACCACTTTTCTCTGGACATTTTAAACAGTGTATGTTGATTTGAATTTTTGATATACGTCGAGTACGCTCACAACTCTTTTCGCATAAAACTGCAGATCTGTGAGTAAATCTCTGTATTTAGGTGGATTAAATAACTTACAGCTATACGGAACAACTCACTAGGTTAAACCTATAGTTTGAGAGTGTTAAACAATCCAACTAAGTAGAACGCAGTAGTGTAAACCTGACATGCAAACTGGAGATAATAGGGCTGAATTGAATCGATTTTCCCACTCATCAACTGTCTACTGATGCTTACTGGAATTTGTGTATAGGATACAGCTAATGATATGATAGTGTTGACTATAGCCATCATCGTTAAAATCAACAACTGAATAAGGGCATTAGAATCGGAAACTATTGTAGAGGTCTACCACCTTCTCCATCGAACTGTTACCATTCGTCTTATTTTTTTGGATTCTTGAACGGAAAAGCTTCTAAGCATAGGCTATTTTCAAAGATAGAACTTCATTCTAATAGACTTTAAAAGTTTCAAAATTATATCTTGGCATTTTAATTTTTGCTAAATAAATTTTAGGTGATTTTTATCAATTGTCCTCAAATTTTTAATTGTTTAATATGACGAGAATTGAAAATTTTGCATTAGTTGGAAGCAAATTTATGAAGCCATTAAGTAAAAATATTTATGATATTTTTTTGACAAAAGGATAATTGTAGTATTGCGCCCCAAAATTACGCAGTAACATAAATTACTTTTTGTATTATGAAATAAAATTTAGATATTAATTACACTTGCAAATGTTTTTTTTTTTTCCTGGTTGCATGAGATTTTTTAACGGATCTTGCATATTTTTACGTCGTTGATTTCAAATCTGCAATCTACTTCTCTCTGCAAATTACAGTTTTTAAAATGACATTTATAGTCTATTTTTGTCGAATTTAATTACGTTACATATAACAGGGGGTGCATAAATATCGCGACAAATTTCTAGGGGAGTTTGAGCAAACCATCAGGGTTAAAATTGTATTGAACCCCATGCCTGGACGCCCCATCATGCCCCATGCCCCATCATGACGTTATACGCCACTAGTAGTGTTTCCTTATTATGAACTGTTTCTTCGTGTGCTTCTGAATAGGCTGTGATAGAGAAGCGACTCTAGCTGCGTGTGACAGGTATGGGTTCCCATTCAATTTTGATTCTAATGATGTGCCCTAACTTCTCAAGAAGTTCGTGTCGGAGGTGACCTTATTAATTAGTGCAGACGATATTTTAAGTTACGAAATCAGACACAAAAACGTACTTTCTCTGAATAAACATATTATTTTATCGACGAATTCGGATTTTCGATCCCCAAAATGAACAGGGTAGGCATAAACCGGAAAATATGGACTCCATAGTGTGTTCAGGGGAGCGAACTAAAGTTTGGATCTTTTAATGCTAGTTTCAGTTTTTAAGTATTTCGTCATATCTCTAGAACTTTTTAAGTGAATCGAAAAATTCTTGATTAGAATTATGAAGTTTATAAAAAGACAATCTCATACAAAAAAAATGATTGTTAATAAATTTTAATAATTATGTAATTTTTTATTATTTCATTTAATATTATGTGTAAAAATTATGAATAGTAAGGTATACAATTTTCTATATCCTTTTAAAGACAAAATACAAAATTTGGACGAAATCGATCAAATAGTTCCTGAGAAATCAAATTCTAAAATAGGCATTTATTTAAAATTCGTTTTTTCAGGAACTGGATTTAAAATTTGGGTTAGGATTTAAAATTTGTATTTTTCCTAATAAAATTGCATTCTTGCAAAATGTTTCAAAAATTTATATACCTTACAATACAAAATCTTTTCGACTGGCTTTAAATAAAATAATAAAAATAAATAATTGCTAAATGTTATCTTTTGCATGGAATTATCTTTGGATAAACAAATTTTATTATTATGTGCTAAAGTTTTTCAACTCGCTTAAACATAGCAAAGTACACAAAAAGTGAAATTAGCATTAAGGGTCCAAACTTTGGATCGTTCTCTTGACCAAACTATGGCGACTATATTTCCAGGCTGCGACTACCCCCTATATTTAGGGGGTCAAAAATCCAAATCAGTTGAAAAAATCAGCATGTTTATTTGGAGAAAGTTCGTTTTTGTGTATAATTAAATAATCTAAATTTATAACCTAATATATCGCCTTCAATAATTAATTAGCGAGGCCAACTTCTTGAACCATTAAGATTGAGTCCTAGATTGTGAAGATCCGATCAAAAGTTATTCATGGTGATACGTTTATTTATTTATTTTTCTGCGCAGAAAAAAAGTAGCATTCCGAAAAAAAGTAGACTATATATATATATATATATATATATATATAATTCGATTCAACAGTTTTTTATCATACAAAAAACAATTCCTTAAAAATTTACGAAGAAATGGGTGGATGATTTTTTTCGTTAGCAAATAAGTTTTTACGGCAAAAATTAAAAAATATAAATAAAAGTAAAGTAAAGTCTGTTACCTCAACAGACTTATNATATATATAAATGTATTTTAAATAAAAATCTTTAGCTTTAGGACCAAGGGATTTGGAATTTCCTCATCCGAATCAGGCAAGATCATATATTTGTATAAACGCAACAAAAATGCCTTTCCTATTGTTATCAATCATTATCACACACTTAGTCTATTTAATATGAGAAGAATTAATAGTTTAGTCTTAGGAAAAAATAAAATTTGCCTAGCCATGAAGGAAAAATATTTATTGATAGTTTTTTTCTTCCAAAAACAAATTTGTGGTATTGTGTACTGAAAATACGAAGGTTACTCTGAAATTTTTGAGATACGCGTAGACGAGAATTTACAAAATAAAAATAACGGTTTAATTTTGAAATACTAAGTATTTTAACGCAGCAGACAATTTTTTACTGACTTACTTCAACTTGTTTAGCGTAGAATAAATTTTAAACAGAAGAGAAAATGGAGTTGACGCGAGAACATTTTCGCGCTATGATTTTCTACGATTTTAAAGCAGGATTAAATCAAGAATGCGTTCAACGGTTGCAATTAGCATTTGGTGATGAATCTCCAGCTCGTGCTACTGTATTCAGATGGATTAAAGAATTTAGCAGTGGTCGCAATTTTCTTCAGAGTGAAGAACAGACAGGAAGGCCGCGGTCGGCTGTAATCCCTGATAATGTGTCTGCCATACGAAAAATATTAAAGGATGATAATCACTGTACCGATCAAATTATGCAGAAGGAATTTAACATTGGATCCACAGCCATACACAAAATTATTCATGACGAATTACATATGAAAAAAGTAGTTTGCCGTTGGGTCCCCCATAATCGACTTGAACACCAAAAAGAGGAGCGTGTCAGAATCAGTAAAGAAACTCTTAAATTGCTAAATGATGGTGGCCACCGCATCATTTCTAAAATTATAACGGGTGATGAAACATACATACCGTTTTTTGACGTTCCAACGCGTCAAGAAAGCAAAGTATGGGTCTTTGAAGATGATACCATGCCGACAATGGTGAAAAGACAACGCGCACTGAAAAAAGCGAAGTATGCCGCTTTCCTCAGAAGTACGGGATTGGTCAAAGTCATCAACTTATACCACTAAATGTCTTCCAGAAATTCTACAAGAAGTGAATGTTAGGGGACTAATGCTTCACCATGACAATGCATCTTCACATACAGCCGGATTAACAGTTGAGTTTCTTAAATAAAAACAAATTAAAGTGATAGAACATCCGCCGTGTTCATCTGATCTAGCTATGTGTGACTTTTGGTTATTCTTTAAAATAAAAAAGAACTTACGCGGACGACGCTTTCATTCAGAAGAAGAGATTGATGTGGCTATAAATGTATTTTTCCCCCATCTATTCCAAGAAATGAATGGCTTGAGGCATTTAATCTGTGGAAAACTTGAATACAAAAGTGTATTGATGCAGGAGGAGACTACTTTGAACAAAGTTTGTAAGTGTAAGTTTAAAAACCTAGTTGTATCTCAAAAATTTCAGAGTGACCCTCGTATGTATAACCATAAATTATTGTTTTAAAAATATATTTCAGGAAATAATTGATATTTATTAATTCTTATCATATTTCCATTTCATTCGACATGATAAGAGTTAATAACTTAGTCTTAAGAGTATGATAAATTTACGAACTCATTATAAAGAAGATATTTGTTGTATTTTAAATTTTATCCTAATGCCATACAGTATAAATATCATGAACGTAATAATATTACTTATGATATTTTCACTTTTAACCAACTTTTTTACCGAATTAATTTCATTACAGTGTCTATATCTTAGGTAACTGCTATTAATGAAATAATTTTGATAATTATTTTTAACTTTAAAATTTTTTTTAAAATTATATTTAAACGATTAATAGTGACATATGGTAAGTAAATGGTTAATCTAAATCCAAAAATAATATGCATTCAAACTACATTCATTATCTTGATATTATCAATTTCAGACAATTAAAGATTGCAGCAATAATGGTCCCAACAGACCTTATCTCAATGTTATTATTAAAAAGAAATTGAAATCGTGTGAATTTAAGCTTTATCTTTAATATTCCTCACCCTTATATTATCATTTTTAAACAAGTAATGATTTCCGAAATAATGATCCCAATTATCCTTATTAGTGTTAAAATTAAAAATAAAAAAAAATAGAAATCATATGCATTTAAGCTGCAAAAATGCTTAAAATATTCATTATCTAGATATTATCATTTTCGAACAATTAAGGATTAGAAACATGTGCATTTGAACTGTCGTAATAATTTTAATATTAATTATTCTAGTATTATTATTTTTAAAGAGAAATTAAAATTATCTACATTAAAACTGTAATAATGGTGTAATGTTAATTGTATGGAAAAATTTGAAAATTAAAAGAAATCTCTAAAACACTAATTAAAAATTTCAAATTTGGATTGTGATATACCATTTGGATCTTAAATTTCATAACCATAAGTGCAACCTTTCTATGTGTTCGTTTCTATGGGCCTACAATTAAGCACACAGTTCGCCAAATCCATAGTCACATAATCGCACATAGTCACACCATAGTTTCCCAATATTTTAAATTAAAATGCATTGTAAAGGGATGAATAAAAACACATTAATTTTTTTTAATAAGCTATATTTTTTTGTGATGAATTTTTAAAATAATTTTTTAAATTTCAGTTTTAAATTCTTTTTGGTGAAAAACAAGATGCACCATGTTACGTATTGGGTTACAAACCAACTTGTGATGGGTTAAAATTCAATTGCCATCCTGCTCTTCGTGCGTGACTTTCGTGGTTTTATTTTCCATCTAACGTAAACGTTGATTAGTTTCCTCCATGAAAAATCTTCATAAAGGCGAGTTTATCCTTATGCTTAATCCAAGAGTTTGATTATTGGTTGGATTTATTATTTGATTTATTATTTGGCTGGATTATTGATTTGGATTATTTGATTTATTATTTGGTTGGATTATTGATTTGAATTATTGGATTGATTATTTGGTTGGATTATTGATTTGGATTATTGGATTTATTATTTGGTTGGATTATTGATCTGGATTATTGGATTTATTATTTGGTTGGATTATTGATTTGGATTATTGGATTTATTATTTAGTTGGATTATTAATTTGGATTATTGGATTTATTATTTGGTTGGGTTCAAAATGACTAGGTTACGATTATTGATTTTAGCAAATCCAATATGGTTTGAATGTTCAAGTCTCGTGATACTAAACAAATAGCATACTTTACATTAATAATGGCATTAATAATTTTAGCATATTTTACAGAAAATATGTAAGCATATTTTACTGATACTTTAAAACTTTCTTTTTTATCATTCTTCATACTTTTAAGAAAATTGAAATATTTTAAGGAAAATTAGGACTGAAATTTTAATAGTCTAATTTCACAAATCGTACATAATTTTCTTTTTATAGATATGTCGTTAACTATAAACTAAAGAATCTTATTCTATGCATTTTTTAATTATATTGTTCAATAGCGCGAAGTACTACTGTCTTCTGCGTAGCTGACAATATACCGTATTCAGATCTTATGACATTTAAACAAATATCACTGAGCTAACAAATTCGACTCCCTTTTTTAACGCTATTTTATGCCTTGTTTTAAAATTTTTTTTAAAAATCCAGAATCCGAACTTGTGGAAACAGATTGCTGGATTAATCCAAATTCATGTAAAAAGTATAAAAGTTTTGAAATTTAGACATTTCCGAATGAGCAAGTGACCAAATAAATGACTTTAAAATAATCTTCATTGTTCAACTAAATGATACTAAAGGGAACATTTAGGTAAAAAAATTAAAACATTAGGTTAGACTTCGTGCGCAACATTTAGTCTTTATTTTCAGTTTTACTCAAAAGTAGATATACTTCATTAATTGTTTGAAAAACATTACTTAATGCAATAACAAAACGTTATCGGACGTTTTAAATGCGAAAAAACGCAATTTTATGCGTACTTGAAATGTAATTTTTATCTACGCATGATAGAAAATTACAACTGAATTAAATTTACTTTTTTTTCCTCCATCAAATTTAGAATTGCTGGAATACTCTGAGTTATTTACCTTTTCTTGATTTAGCGAAGAAGAAATTTACAGAAGACATTTACAGTAAATGAATTCTGAAATAAATTCAGACTAAAGACGAATAAGTCGAATTTATCTGTGTTATTTCCTTTAAAAATATATGTAGCAACGAAATGAAAATAATATATGAATGTTTGGTGATATTATCAAAGTATAATATAAGTATATAAGGGGCAGTACAAAGTAAAGTACTTAATATTCGCTATTCGCTTATATGAGTAGAAACGATTGGAAGTTTGAGAATGTATTAATCAGATATTATAACCCTAAAGGAAGAAAAATTGACAACAGAATATCCTAGTTTTAAGAGATCCTTCTTTCTTTCGTCGCTTTCTTTTTTCGTTTTTTTTTCAAAATTTATTATTCATTTTTTTAATAATATAAATGCAGGGTATTTTGCAGGAACTGCTTTTACTTAGTAGTTTAAAAGAATCCTTGTCAGAAATGTAGAAAAAAAATTAAGCATAATAGTGGTAGAAAATTAATATTAGTGAAAATAAAGCTGTTTTAAAGCTGTGACCAATTTTTATAGACATCGATAAGAGCTAGGCCTGCAAATTTAAATTTTCAATTAGTAGCCAGTGGCAGGTAGACTCTAGTAACTTAGTAGCCCCTTTTTCCTCATACCAAATGAGTCGATGACCAATAGATCATTTTCTTTTAATAGCCACTTATTGCAATATTTTTTTTGCTTAGTTTAAATTATATTTTCAGAAATAAGTTAATATTTAAAATAATCAACGATTATAAAAGGTTAATTCAACAAGAAACAATATAAATGTATGACAAAATAATCAACGATTATAAAAAGTTAATTCAACAAGAAATAATATAAATATGTGACAAAATTTAGTTAAACATACTGACTTTATTTGGTGAGGCAAAATACATTTACTGTATACATTACAACTTTGAAATATGTACATTATTAAGGAGCTCTCCTTCTATCGAAATCTTTACACCACAAATTGTTGGATTCTAACAGATCAAAATTTTGAATGGAGATATTGGGCATTTTAATGAAAATCCTGTTTTCAGGATCTCTTTCTGCATTGATGTATTTTTATCATAAAACAATCCTTTTTTTTTCCTTAAAAAAAGGAAAACTATAGGAAAAAAGGACTGGTTGTTTATTTAACACTAGATTGCCTAAGGTTAAGTCATTTTGACTGCTTTTAATTTCAATTAGAAAAGCAATAATGTATATAATGACACAATTTCTTAGAATTTTGTACAACATATAATTTTTTCATTGTTAATATTTACTAATAACTTGTTATATAACTATAAATAATATAAAAAATATTAAAAAGTAGTTAAAAAAATTTTTTTAGACATTATTTATACAATCCAGTCATTTTGACTGCTTTTGGGCAATATAGGTACATACTAAGTTTCCGTCTTTCTAGTGTTAAGTCGCCACTTTTTGTTGCTGACTCACCAAGTGGCGAGTGGTTATTTTCAGGTCTAATAAGAGCAAAAGAGGAAGTAAAGTAATCTAAAACCCGTTTCTATGAGAATGAAGCTGTAAGGTGGGTTCCAACTGGCCAAATAATTCAGTAATAATTGTTTTTAGTTTGAAAATTCCTTCTTTTCTCCTCAATATTAATTAGCAACCTCTAATTTTCATAGTTTTTTTAAGGGATTAATGTTTACAGTTTTATAAGAATTCTAAACGTTTATTTAATATATGTTAAAGGTGGTTAGTAGGGAACATCCTATACATAATTATGCCACTTAGAGCACAAACGTCTATTGAGTTAGAATCTATATTTGGACTTATCCCATGCTTTAAAAAGACGCTATATTGTGGGAAGAACTTTTCATGGCGAATTCCGTTTCACCTTCATTGATATTTTATAATTTAGAGAAAACTGAGTTAGATAAACCTAGAATGATCATGAAATACCAAATATCGAAAAAATGTTTTTAAAATTTCAAAACACCAAAAAAATTATTGCATGATCACATACCCACT